AGATCCTTGTCCATGTGAACACCTGTATGTGGAGAGTCAAATAATCTCATATGTTTTTTATTAATGCAAGCATAGTTTAGTAAAATCTAACAGCTTCTAGGAGAGAAAAGGAAAAATTTCCCTTTCAAAGAAAAATTTTATAATTTTATATATATACTTGTAAGAATGCTACATATATTTTCCTGATGATATTATTTATGTTCTAAAGATGACACACATTAAGTAATCTCCCAGATTTTGGTTAAAAATAACAGAAATAGAGTCCAGGGATGTAGCTCAGCAGCACAGTGCCTGCCTGGCAAGAGCAAGGTCCTGAGTTTGATCCCTAGTACAAAAAGAAGTCAAAAACATAAATAGAACCCTCTTGACAAAAAGTAAATTTGTCTTAATATTTTGTAAATACCCTTAAAATTCTACATGTGGGCTGTGCCTATATAGATTTTTTTTCATTAAGTTTATTGGTACATTTAAAGCAAACAGTACACTTACATTTATCATTGGGATCTTGTACCTGTACATGATATGTCTTGGTTCTTGTTTTTTCCCCATACCCCTGCCCTCCCTTCACCCTCTTCACCCTTCCCTATTTACAAAGATTTGTTTCCATTTTTTTCATTTTTTTCTTTTCCCTTATTTGTTTTCCCCTCCTCTACCCAATGCCCCTTTAGCTATTTTCTTCCTATTTCACAATCTGTGTGTGTGTGTGTGTGTGTGTGTGTGTGTGTGTGTGTGTATATATATATATATATATATGTTTTAACTTAAAATTTTGTGACATATGTACATCATTTCCTAAAATGATGAAGATAAATTTAATTAAATTATCTGTTAGTAGCACTAGGAAATATTATATATGCAGAAAAATAGTATTTTATTAAAAATCATTATTACTCCCGGGAAGGAATATCAGGCATCAACTGCTTTGATACATACCCACTCTTGATTAAGTCCTAGGTTGGAGAAGCAAAGTCAGATGTGGGAGAGGCTACACAGGCATCAAGAAACACCACTAAGTCTGGGTCTGAGGTATGCAGGCTGACTTGAACAAAAAGAGTTTGATTCAAATCCACATAATATGGTGACTCGATATAGGGTTTTCAAATGAATCACACTCGAAAAGAGCCATGCTTGTGTTGTATTTGCCCAGCACATTTTGATTTTGTATTACATCATCTTCTGTTATGTACATTGTCTCCATGGTAGAGTTATATTCCATTTCACACTTCACAACAATCTGGAGATGTTTCTGACGGGTGATCACTGCAGAAGTTGGAGATGCAATAAAGGTGATTACGTTGGTGTAAGTAATTGAATGGTCTTCTACCTGCAGGGCAAGATAGAATTCAAATTTCATATTTTAGTCCAGTAATATTTTAGCACATGCATGTGAATAACCCTTGCAGATACATAATTTTCTTAAACCACCAGATAACAGGTTTTATGTCAGAATACTATATGCCTTCAACATTTTATTGAAGGCATATTCTGGGACATGAACAAATAAAGGAAAGTGTGAGTTGAGAGGTACAGCTTGGAGACAGAATTGTACTGAAGTTTTTCAGTGATATAAAAATTGATCTTGAATGCAAACTTCCAGCCCTATAAAAACTTTAAACCCTATAGCATATTCTTTCTGTAAAAAGCACTAACTGTAGCTGACCAGGCAGTTTTCCAAGTATGCATAGACAGGGACTCTGTCAGGTTCCCTCACCTGTCTTCCAAGTATAGTAAACCCTGTGTTCATTTTGGCACATGCACAAAAAAATTTACTTCTGTCCTGATCAAATCCTCTTGTAATGCCTTCATTCCACTTAATTAGATTGTTGCTTAGCCTCCTGAGTGAAAAGTTTACAGCATACTTCCTAAAGGGACCTGCAGATTGAAAAACGCCTGAAATCTTGAATCCAAGTTCTAAAACATGTAGAACAAATCACAGACTTACAATAAAATTTTTCACATTTAAAGGATAATGTTTTTACCAACTCTCTTTACAAGGGAAGATCTTTAAAAATTCAGCTCAATTTTTACTAAAATATAAGATGTAAACATTTTCTAAGCAAGAGTTCCACAGCACAGAGATGTTCAAACCCTCTCTTGTGCATTTTCAGAGATCTTTACCTTCTGGGAAAAACAAACAAACAAATGAACACCCTCCAGTTATCCTGACAATGGATGAAACAGTTCTGCAACGATGTATGAATGACTGTGAGCACTTGTATGTCTACACATGTTCACGATATGTTCAGCTACTAAGAGCTGAACATGGTTTGTCATTATGCCCACTGCATTAGCAGCATGCATTTGGTATTTGGTAGAGCGCGGATGTCAGGGTTTCACTTTACCTTTTTGATTGTACCACATGCATCCAGAGGGATAGCAAATTCCACAACATTTGACACTGTTGGTCTGCAAGTTGGGTCATTTAGTTGTAAGTTATCCTCATTATAGTTAAATGACTCTAGATGGGATTTGGCTTATGACAACTCTCAACTTGTCAGAGTCACAAATCAAAGACGCTGTCAGGAAAACAAAGGAAGAAAAGGATGATCTCATGTTTGTGCTGGTGGGGAACTCTGGACCTCAAAGTCTTCCCGCACAGGTGAATCTATGGACAGCCAAAATTCCATGTGCCCCTCAGTGGTAGTTTGAAGTCTGAGACAGTTAAGAAATTGATGCACTTTTTACAGTGTTCATTGTCGCCTTCTTTGAGATTAGAATGTGTGAATCTAATATGTTCATCTTTTCAGAAGGTATTGAGACAACCAGTCCCTATTTTTTACAGAAATCTTTTTTGGGTGGATAAAAGAGTTTGTTTCTTCTTATTCTAAGCAATGTACGGAAATGATGGTCAAGCCTTGGGTTATGACTATATTTCTAAGTATATTGAATATGCTGACATGTAGCGTTAACCACAAATAGGCTAGGAATTAAGGAGCAGTTTCTATGTACAGAACTCAAAACAGCCAAGAAATATAAATGTAACTTACTAGTTTTGATGTTTTCTGCATAAATGGAAGTGTAGGATGCAGAAAAGCCCCTGTAAGAATTGGCATAATCTGTAGCTAACACAACAGTCAAGGAGTCTGAATAAGATTCAAAGGGGGGCGTCACGTGGCCACAGACTTGTCCCATCAGGCCGGCCTTGGTGGAGGAGCCATCATAGACAGCAACAAAGTCAAATCTGCAGTGGTCATCTGTTTCTAGGCTAAGAAGAGTCCATGGTAAAAACGCTTTTCAACTATTCAGATTTTCTGCCTATCTCCCCATTCTTAAGAGATTCAGGATTTTCCTTATAATGGCATCTCAGGTTTATGATGACAAATCTGGAATTTGGTCACCTGATGATGGGACCTCAGAATCTTTGGAAAAATAGTCAACTAGTTCAATAGCATAGCATTGCTGAGTAACTCCCTTTCTCTGTCAAGTCCTTGAAAAGTCCCCACATATAGGGGCTTCAGTGATTACTTCTCTTCCCTGAGCCCCTCAGTTGCCAGGTGGGTTCACTGCATTTGCTCCCCAGTACTTACAAGATCTCTTTGAAGTCTAATCTTATCTTGTAGCCTTTTTCCACTTGTATGTGCCACACACAATAAGCCAGCGCAGGATGTGGCTGTGGATAATTGGGACTAGTAAAGGATCCTTC